GTGTGGACGCTTCTGTCTCTGGGGATGATACGGGAGCAGAAGGAACAAAGGCATTAATATAACCAAGCCAGTCAGAAGAACAGATCTTCGCCTTCTGGGTTAAGAATGATGGGTTATACCCTTGTGCTTCTTCTGGGCGAGAGGCAGTGTGCACTATTTTTGTAGGCATGGAAGATGTATACCATGCTACAAGAAGATTCTCCTCCAGACTACTCCGATGGTCAATGGGAACATAGGGATAAACAACTGAACTTCGAGTATAGGAAGGAAACTCTAAAGGGTCAGTGAACTCAACAAAATGGTGGTTGATTCGCTCCTTCAAATCATAAGTCTCAGGTACTGACCAGCTTGTCCAGTCAGAACCCCTAGAAGAGGAAGAAGTTGCAGCTTTATCCCATACAGAAATTTGCGAAGAAGAGTTGCTCAAATCCATATTCGCAAATTTCCGAATCAAAGGTTTGAGAGCAGATTGTTCGAACTGTAAAGGTAGGTCAGAAGGGGAAATTCTTATGTCTACGTTCGTAGCCTTTTGAATCGAAGGATTAAGAGCAATGTGTGCGTAGTCCAAAGGTCGGTAATTTGCAAAGGCGTCCATGACCTGAATATAGAAAGGTGGGTAAAGGTGGCCAATAAATGCATGCTTTCGATGAGAAATAGCATCGACATATGACTCTTCGTATGCTTCATCACTGGAGGAAGGAATTAATTTGGCCATGAAATGTATCAGTCTGTTCGAATAATAAGATAGTGAAAGTACTTAAAGGATTAAGACGAGAATATTAATACAGATGGTGAGTGACAGTTGCATTTCTGGGAAGATGCAAAACCCATGCACGTTCTAAGACGTGGGAAAAGGGACCTTGATCCACTAATATCACCAAGTTTTGGGTATATTAAACAGTGACAATATGTTGGCTACACATTTTGTACTAGCCAATGACAATTCGACGCGTGGCAAAGTAAGGGTAATACGGGGAGACCAGGCAGGTCTTCGATCTTGATCATACACGTGGCAGTTAATATTAGTTGTTATAAGATCTGAGTAGTAGCGGATCAACAAAGAGATGTACGGTGACGTGGCTTCAACGGTTGCTCACATTCAAATTCAAATATAAGGAGGAAGCCTAACTGCAAGTAAAGGCGTAGTGGAACTACTTATAAGGTAGCATGATCAGCGATTACGGAGGAGCAGTTCGACGGTTTGAAGTACAATTCGATGGTTATCTTCGGAGAGTATAAATAGCAGGAAGGATTTCAGAGAAGGAACGAAGAAAAAGATCTAAAGAATTACTTTACATATTCCAGTGTTATTTCCTGTCCTTTCTATTTTCTGTACTTTAAGTTCCTGCGCTGCACTTCATTTGTAGGAGTAGTTTTCGAGTATATTGCCGCTGTAATTCTTTACGGAACTAAGATCATTGTAAGTTTTTCATACTAATGAAATGCTTCAGTTTATTTAACTGTTCTTATGCTCAAGTTCTCTGAAGTCAAATTACTAGTAAGCCACCAGTAAAAGTCCTCTTTATTGAGGCCGAAAGAACCATAACACAATCATCGGAATAATTGTTTGGCAATTACAATTCTGTAAGGACTGATTGATCCTTGCTGGCACGCTCATAATTACAAAAGTAACCTTCGAAAGCCAAAAAGCCAACACAATAGTAGATGAGGCAGTAAAGACAGTAATCACATTAATTTTTCTTCTTCTTGGTGGGTTTTGTTAAGATTTTTTGGAAGAGAGGTTTTTTTTGGAGTGTGGGGGTATGCATTCAATGGATGAAATGTTTTTATAAGGATAATTTTAGTATTATGTGGGGAGAAGAAATTTTGAGGGTTTCATAATTTATAAACAGGGATCCAAAGAAATGGGGGGTCCAAAATAATTTATGGGGTGTCAATAGCACCGCTCTTTTGAAAAACATTAAATTTATGTATTCTTTTTTTCAACATTCCCCATACTAGTGAAAGTAGTTAAAGTTAATTATTGCTTTCTTAACATATATCCTTAGGGCACATGTTAAACAAGATCCTAACAAGATCATATATATATATATATATAGGGAATTTAATCAAAATTTCCTCATAATAAAACCTTAATGCATTAAGAACAAGTAAAAAAGTTTTTCTTGAAAAATTCAATACACAATATTATTATCAAAATATCTTTTGCGATCTCAGTCTTGGTACGAACCCATTTCGAGGCCTGTAGCAGGCTAGAATGCTTCAATGTTCAACAGTGAAGCCATGCAAATTGGTGGATCTGGCCCGGTACAAGAAAATGGCATAAGAATGATTCCAAATCCCACATTCGAAGCCATACCTGGCACCAGGGGGTACAATAATCCCTTATTCGAATTTATACCCGGGCGGTTGGAAGGTTTTCCTACAAGTGGAAGGGATACAATACCTGTTCCAGCACCTTTCGTGGGTCCTTTCGCAGGACAGGCTCAAAGAGGTTACCTACACCCCCAACAGCACCCTCTACCACAGGGACAGCCAGTCCCAAATGTACCACCTTATGGACCAAGAGGACCACAAGCACAAGGTTGTCCACCAAATCCTGTGTTTGTTCCCCCAATGGTGGTTCATATATAATATGTAAGTGGCATATAATGGGTTATAATGATGTTTGTAATATCTTCTATATAAGGAGTGCCATTTGGTCTTGTAAGATAAGAAGTTTTGAATATAACAGAAATATATTCCTTCTTCCTCATATTTTTCAGAGTTCTTCTAACTCATATTTTCTAAGTCCCAGAATGGGTCGATAGGGTACATGAATATCCAAGAGGTTTCAGGATACCAGATTTTGTCCTCTTTCATGGGAACGGAAACCAATCAACAGTAGAACATATTGCTAGGTTTGCCGCTCAATGTGGTGAATTTACCAATCATGACTATATAAAGTTGAGACTATTCCCAAATTCTCTAACTGGAGGAGCCTTTGTATGGTATATTAACCTCCCACCTGGCTCCATCCAGACTTGGCAGCAAATGGAAGAGGCATTTCATGCCCAATTCTTCCAATCAGAGCCAGAAGTTTCCATGGCAGACTTGGCCAGATTGAGTCAAAGGCCTGAAGAGAAGGCTACTCAGTTTATTTCCAGATTTAAGAGGGCTCGAAATAAATGTAGAGTAATCTTGCCAGAAACTGAATTTGTAAGATTGGCCCAAAATGGCCTAGAGTTCAGGCTTCGAAAGAAGTTTGATTCAACAGAGTTTAGAGATTTAGTGGAACTGACTTATAAAGTATCTAGATATGAAGCATTACTAGAAGAGGAAGAGGAACAGGATCGAAATAATGCATCATATAGGACATACTACAAAGATCCTAATTATGAGATTGATGCAGCAGAGATTGTGGGAAAAGAGCCTATGACCAGACGTTTCCATGGCAGACTTGGCCAGATTGAGTCAAAGGCCTGAAGAGAAGGCTACTCAGTTTATTTCTAGATTTAAGAGGGCTCGAAATAAATGTAGAGTAATCTTGCCAGAAACTGAATTTGTAAGATTGGCTCAAAATGGCCTAGAGTTCAGGCTTCGAAAGAAGTTTGATTCAACAGAGTTTAGAGATTTAGTGGAACTGACTTATAAAGTATCTAGATATGAAGCATTACTAGAAGAGGAACATGATCGAAATAATGCATCATATAGGACATACTACAAAGATCCTAATTATGAGATTGATGCAGCAGAGATTGTGGGAAAAGAGCCTATGATCTGTGAAGCGTTAATTCATAAAGATACAACAATTGACCAGCAGTTTAAAAAGAAAGATCTCCACAGGAAATATTCTTTCGATTTAACTAAGGCAGATGACATTTTTGATCATTTGCTTGCGGCCAACTTCCTTAAGTTACCAAAAGGTGTTAAAATTCCATCTCTTGATGAACTTAAAGGAAAAATATATTGTAAATGGCATAATTCTTAGTCTCACTCGACTAAAAACTGTGTTGTTTTTCGAGACAGGATCCAAGAACAAATTCGAAAAGGGAGTTTGAAGTTCCCAGCCAAAGCTGAAAAAAGCCATGGGGATCGATAGCAATCCATTTCCAGAAATTGGAGAGGTGGCAGCCAATGTCATTATGTCAGACTTTCAGAACTTGTCCTTGAAAGAATTGGAGGAAGTCAATGTACAGATGCATGTGGCCAACCAGACAGTAACCAAAAAAGACCTTAGAAGTCCACCAGCTATGGGACGAGATTTCTCACATCAGAGGGAAGACTCTGATGAATAAGCACTGGATGATGACTCCCTAGAGGCAGCCGTAATGCAACGAATGTGTCCCAGGTGCAGACTGAGTTATAAGTGGTTGAAAGGCCTTCTGGTCGATGGGAAGCAGTATTACAGGGATGTGCAGAGGCGTCCCAAACCAACCAATGCTTATAATAAAAGGCCGTATCCGGCTAATATTAGGCGACAGCCATTAGTGGTTGAACCTGCAGTTGAGAGAATGCATGCTAAAGGCAAGAGGCCCTTATATGAGTCCAGATCACCTAACTATTACAGGTTGGAGAGTAGTTATTCTGAAAGAAGGCTGGAGAAGAGTTCAGGTTTTGGGATCAAAACCAGGAATTGGCCCCTTGGGCCAGCTTCACGAAGGACAGAAAATGATCACCATCATCGAGAACCTGAATCAGGCTCAAAGCTTGGAGACAGGGCCAAACAGTTGTCTTCACAGCCAGCCTCGAAGGTGACCTCGAAAGAAGAAAGAGGCAGTTCAACGTCTAGGTCAGTAAGTTCGTGGGTACCTGGAGTCCCAGATTGGTTTGTGATGCAAAACAAACCTAGGGAAATGCCTACCCAAAGGAATTTTGGAAATCAAAGTAGGATGATTAAGCCTCCTTTGGTGGCCCCCAACAACTGGGTATTGCTGAAACACCCAAGAATGAGGGAACCAGATATGGTCCCCGTTATTTCCAGATCACAAAGGAGGAAAATTCAGCGTAGGTACACCCAATACCAGAGAGACCTGAAAGAAAGTGGAGAGAGTTCTTCAATGATCCAGACTGGAGAAAAGAAGAGTCGAAAGTCAGACCATAATTCAAAGCCAGTTTCACAAAACGAGGTGGATCGCAGCAGAGAACAGTTGGCCAAGGTTCATTCTGAACTGAAGGTCAGAGAAAAGGAAAGTCTAGCAGGGTTGGAGAAAGCTCTGATGGAGAGTGGTAGCGAAACGGAAGAAGATATTGGCGTAAGCCAGAAGAAAGAAATGGTGGAAGAAGAAATGTTCGAAGCTTTCATGGCTGAGCAAACATTTCTGATTGGAAAACCAGCTGAGGAAAATCATTCGAAGGGACCCGTTACCAATGAAATACCAGAATGCATCATGCAGGATGATTCTGAGGTAATTGACCAAGGTGACCAAGAGGGGAAACAAGTACAGCCAGCCATCCAGTTTGGCTCGTTTTCCCCAGTATCAGTGAACATGGTACACATACTACCACAGGAATTCCAAGCTGGAGATGAGAATCAAGAGGGTCAGGAAGCTGATCCAATTCCGATCTCTAGTGAAGATTCACAAGCGAGTATGGTACAAGATAATTTCGAAATGGTCACCCCAATGGAAGCTGAATATGAGAGCGAGGAAGTGGTAAGCATTAACCTCTCGTATCCATTCGAGTATCCCTCGAATTCCATGACGCAGCATGTTAAGCCTTTGTACATTAAGGCCTTCTTCGATGGGGTTCAGTTAAACCGAGTCTTGGTGGATAATGGAGCGGCTGTGAACTTATTACCGAAATCCTCCTTGAAGAAATTAGGGAAGAGGAATCCCAGGTTGATCCTAACTAGTACAACCATCGCTGGTTTTGCTGGAGACAAGCAGATGGCCCAGGGAATTCTACCCATCAACCTGAGTGTGGGAACCAAGGACTGCATGACGGCGTTTTTCATCATCGATAGCAATGCGAAGTACAATGCTTTACTTGGTCGAGATTGGATCCACACTAATAAATGTGTGCCTTCCTCTTTGCATCAGAAAATGATAATAGCTCTAGGCAATGGAAAGACGGAGGAAATTAATGCAGATCCTCAACCTTTCATAGCCTACGCAGATTTC